CAAGACGTGTAGTACTACCTTTGTCACGAATCTGACTGAGACTGACCCAAATCTCCTTAATCCCTTTTGAAAGCAGTAGGCACGTCAAATTTGGCATGGAGAGGGGGAGCGGCGTTTTTGGCGATGTTGGTGAATGGGTGGTAGAAGGGTGCCGCGCCATGCCACTTTCCACTCACCGCGGTTGAGGTGTGCCCCGACGGTCCTGCCACAATTTGCATCGTAGACGCCTACTCGATCATGGCACATCGTTCGGAGTGAAAGTCACTAGGGAGAGGGCGTATCGGCTGCCTGCAGGGGGAGGGGTCGCCGGTCTTGCAAGCGATCTGTTCCGATTGTTCTCTTCTCAAGCGTGCTGTATACCAACACCATCCCCCGCTCGACGGCATTTTGCCGGGAAAAAGGTGGTGCGCTGGGAGAGGAAATCTGGGAGCGGACTCTATACAGCAAAAATTTTCAGCGACGCTATGACGTGCCCTGCGCCCGATGCCTTTGATTAGTTGCTTTCCTTGCGGAATTATTTGAGGGAGGAGGGAGGGGGTGGAGGGGGATTAGAGGCAAAGGGGTGTTCTTCCCTTGGCCTGTGCGCTATCTCTGACAACGCCAATATCTTCTGAACCTAATGTGCCGAAAATGTCATTCCATGCTTTTTCAGCCCAGCATCAATGTGGTCTACTTAGTATTGTTCATCATCATTGGAGTTATTCTGGTAACGATCACGATCGATTTCGTAGCCGCAGAAGTCATCGACCGTATTCATTACATGGGACGTCATGTGGGAAAAGCTCGAGAAATCGCTGGGAAAATGATGCAGGTCAGGTTGATGTTGTTGTTTTTTTGATCAATCAAAAATACAAGTCATATATAAAATATAGGTTGGAAGGAAAGTCTTGTCACTGTTGTGACTTTTTTCTCTTTTTATTTTCTAACTCAATATACAGTGGGAATTAGTCAACAATATACTCGTCATAGTTAGCCACTACAGTGCTCCACCCAATGGACAGGTAAGCATTCCCCTCCTCCCAGAACTGAGAAGGCTGCGAGTAGAGTAAGTCAGCGCCCTCTCGACTGATGTCATCAAAGTTGCTGAAAGTTTTCTTAGCTAAGAAAGCCTTAAGGAGGCGGAGCAGGTAGCAGTCGTAGGGGACTACGTCAGGAGAATATTATGAGCGGGGACTGGTCTTCCAGCCTTGCTCCTCAATTATTTGGTAGGTCTTCATAGCAGGTATGGGGTCTCGTGTGCTACGAACGAGGTGACCCGAAGCAAGTCTCGGTCATTTTTCTCCAACAATTTTCACTCGTTTCGGCAGCTGAGCGACACAAATGGTGGCGGTGACCGTCTGTTCTTATGGGGCAGCTCGTTCAGCAGCACCTACTCGCGTCCCAGGAGCAGCACAGGAGAACCTTTTCGGAATACATGCCCGGTTTGGACTGCTAGAATGGATCTTCTCCTTGAGAGAGACAAACGGTACTGTGTGGAGTGAAATCATAGAGGACCCATCTGTCATCTCCACCAAGCAGTCTCCCAGAACCACCTTTTGACAAGGGAGGAGAAGGAGAGACTGACCAAGGGGTACCTGAGGTGCACAGCGTGCCATCGGTCAAGGTATGAATGATCCATCAAGCCAGTACTTCTTGGTAGTCAAAGGCTTACAGGCGGTGGACGACATCGACGTTGTGATCATTTTATAAAAATTACGACCCCCACCCTAAATTTCAACAGAGAATACGACCCCCCCTTTCTGAGTTGGTACGACCCCCCCCTCCCAGCCCTCTGTCCTTCCTCATCGAACCGAGCCGTCGAGGGTGGAGGTCGTCAGAATGAAAACTATCATTTTCAAGGGTCGGAAATAGTAGTGCGTCCATGAACTGACCAAATACGACCCCCCCCTCCCAAAAATGACCAAGTACGACCCCCCCCCTTACAGCGTCCGTGAAACAAGAGAAATCAACTATCAAAAAAATTTTCTCTGACCAAATACGACCCCCCCCTTGTGATGATCACAACGATGGCGTGCCCTGCTTACCAGGAGGTGGACGACTGTCAGTTAGATACAACCGAGTCTTGCCGCAAGATTGCAAGTGGTAGGCTCTGGATCCCCCTTGTCTGCTTCGAGAATGGTGGAGTCGGTGATGGTAGCGGTGTTCCCTGGCAATGCATTGTCTATGTTCGGACAGCTGCCGTGGCTCCAGTGCCGCGGGGCCACTGATAGAAGATGATGACTCGAAGATACCCTTGTGAAACTGACATCGTAATTAAACCCAGGGAAGAGCAGGCGCCCTCACACGCCTCTTGCAGGAAAGCTCCCAGAGTGTCCTACAAGCATAGCATGTTACGTCATGTACGAGCATCGAGAATCAAAAACTGTAAGCTTTTCAAAAAAACACTGGCAGGACTTTCCTTCCAACCTATACAAGTCGCGAGCGGATCTCCAGTCAAATGGGTAGTGCAAAAGGAAATGTCGCTCCCGTTGCCGCGCGCGTCGAAGCGAAAATTCACGATTCTCTTGCCCGTCTCCTCTCCCTTCAAAGCTAATGAAGCGAAAAGACACTTCAGTGAGAAAGGCACAGTATCCCTGCTCATACTGCGGGGGGTGGAACGCATTTAAATACACTATGCAAAAGATAGGGATCCGCTGATGCAGAGCGATTAGCTCAACTGGGTTTTATAAACTTACTGACAAATTTTTAGATGGCGCAGTCACTCAACGTTAACAGAGGGATTACCGGACTCACGACAGGAATGGCACAGCTGCAAGCACTTGCTCGATTCGGACTGCTGGGAAAATTGGATCGAGAGGTGGGTTGTTGTCGCTGTGAAAGGATTTCACAATTCATACCACACCTGGGAAGACTACTGTAAGAAAAAATTACGAAATACAGATAACTGCATATAGTTCATTACATCAAACTATACAAAGAGACAGTGAAGCTGGAGAGTGCTAGTAGCTAGACCTGTCCTACTACGGTTCCGCTTGCAAGCAATGTCAGCGCAAAAACACGCAAATACGCTGCACAACCAAACCATAGCCAGAAGCATTCCTTGTCTGCGCCCCCCGTGCCTTAGCATGGCGCAGTATTTGTGCTCTGCAGCTTCTTGGCTGCTCCTTGAAGACAAGGTACACGGGGTTCCGAGCACGGTCACTGTGATTTGTATGGTGCATGGGCCCGAAGCTGGAAAAGTGTACTATTACTTCCGCTCAGAAGTGGACGGGAACGTCTGAAGGAGGGTCAGACGTGGTTCGCATAACCCCTCGCGCTATACTCAAGACACGGACCGGCTTCTGCCAGCGAAACACGCCATTCAGTCGAACAAGAACAAGCACGAAGTGGAGGGTCGGAGAACGCGTTCCGCGTTGGGTTAAAGGCATAAGGCCAAGACATAGTCGGTACTCCGTTCCAGCTGTTAGTATGGGCGAAAGAACGATATGAAAAGGACAAAAACCTGTAAAAAAGCCATTGTTCCACACGACTTAGCAAGCAACTTTGGACGAGTTTCCCGCTGATCTGTTGCCAATAACCACTACGGTAGATACGGTTGCATGTATGAACTCATCCATGCAGCACCGCAGCCGCTTCGTATCAATCCCTTCGCTTCATACTGTACTTCGCAAATGAAGTGATACGAGCATTACGCACCGGTCGGATCATTCTGGGCTGGCGGAGCGGTGGCCTCCGACACCGTGCAGCTTGATAGGACACTATGGGGTCCACTACACTACCTGTTAAAAGACAGAATGCATATTAGTTATTCAGCGTGTTAGAGACGTGTCTTGAATCGTTTTTTTTTTTGCCCATACCGTGTTTACTCGCTTATGACGTCAATGGTACAGTCGTTTTTGCTGCAGACACCGGGCAAGTCAGGAGGGGGCGAGTTGGGTTTGGCGCGGCGGCAGCTCGTTCTCCGTGAATCATTAAAGCGGGCATGCGAGAACAGTTGCTGTAAATTGGCTGGTGCAGCGCCACACCCAAGCAGTCCCTTCCTGACATAGCACCGTCAGAAGCGGAAACGACTATACGTCAAAACTTAACAGGTGATAAAACAATTCTACATCTACGCCAGCATGAACTAATGGACAGACCAAAGTTTAGGTGCATTCACTAACCCAAGTGAGTACTTCTAGGTAATCGATCAAGGGCAAGATGGTTGTGCATTCGCTCCATTTCTGGAAGACATGGACTTCATGGACAATGTCTCGTACACGGCGGATATGAGATCGCCCCGTCGACGCCCGCCATCTCCACCAAACCTCTTCATTCATAGCAATCCTCATGTTTCAACTCATCGTTCTAGAAATAAGCCTTAGTCGCGAGTTGCAGAACAGATAAGAGATCAGTAGAGTACCCTTTTTCAAAAATTTATTAAAAGAACTGATAAAACTAGCGTTTGATCTACTTATATATGTACAACATTCGGACTTCTTGTATTGGTGAGACGTATATGTGCTATTTGATTCTGTAAATAGGCCAATAAACTGATGGTAAGACAGCTTTCACACTTCAATCAACTCTCCCAACACTCTCTCCACTCGATTTCCAGAAGATGGGGAGGGCGTGGCCGTTAAATTCATTTGAACATGGATTAGGTGCTTTTTTATGAATAATTTCCATTTGAGGCGACTGGCAACAGCGCAGTTGCCACCACTCTCAAATGAAGCGCGCAGCCACGCCCATTTCTTCTGAGGTTTTCCAAATCAAATCGGATACTTTTTCAAATCAACTCAGAATACGCGTTACATTGGGCAGTTGATTAACTAGACCACTCCAGGTACTGCTGGAAAGGGTTCAACTAGGTGGCTCCGCCTGCCTTTAGAAGCCCCGCCTACTTAACAGATTTCGGGTAGCGAGAAAAATGCCACTCTCTCAAAAGCCTCACAGCAAAAAAACTATCATCTCAAAAGCCCTCGCGATCTACAGCCATGTCAACAAGTGTGCTCCAGCGTCACTTTGCGCTGGGATATCAAAGCGGCCGCAATTGCTTGCATATCGTCACGTTCTCGTCAGAGCAAACAATTAGAGCCTGAAGGGGAGAGGGGGGGGGGGTGTACCAGGAATCTTCCTCGGTAGGAGGGGGTCGTACTGTAACCGCCATTTCACACATCACGATGTTGTACCGTGTCTCCTAGATCTATTCCATGCTGAACGTATTGGTGTAGTCAGGTCTACCACTGTGTTCTCCTCACCGATTCTCTCCTACCACTTTTTGGGCGGTGAAAAGGACACAATGCTATGGCTGGTTCCGCCCACATGACCAGCGTGGAATGTGTACAATAAGTCAACGAAACATTTCTCACCAAAATTCAAACGATTAATTCTACTCGGCATCCTTTCTTATAGTGTCTGCAAATGCTCCTGAATGATGGATAAAGTGTAAGTAGATTAACAGAGCAGTATAAGTTCTGCATGAGGTAGGTTATCTAGGGTAGTCAAACGTAGGTCCCGCTCATGGAATGACCTTCGGCAGTCTGCCGAAGCTTGTGGCAGAGCTTCGGCTTTAAGGTGCTGCTACTGAGCCACCGATCACGTGAGGTGGGAAATACTGAGCCAATGGTGACGTCAGAATGGGTCACCGGATGAACAAGAATCTGGCGGAGCCTCTAGCCATAGTGCCAAGGACACGCAATGAAGACATCCTTCACCATCCCATTCTTCACCTTGGACGCGGATAAGGAGAGCGACCACCAGCTCGGTTGACCACTTCTCACTGCTTGTGCAAAGATTTTTTCCGCATAAAGGAATCGGGTGGTATGCGCCTCGGGAGGGACCACCTTCGAGCGGAAGTCGCCACCTCATATTTTGACGCGACAGCCACGACATGCCATCCAGGGGTGGATAAGTTAGAAAGCGACATTTTCGGACGTTGATTAAGCCACAAGCCGCATATATGCCACACCATCCCGTTGAGTTGGTGTGGATCGGCTGAC